GCTCTCTTTTGTTTCTGGTTTTTAGCACAACAGCAGCAGAAGGAGCCTTCAGAGAGCTCGCCACCTGCTGGCTGCAAGTTGTAGATATGAACAACTGACCAAAAACAAAAATACTCAACAACAAAAATCTGAAGACAACACACATCCCGTTCAGACACTTCCTGAAAGCCTGGAAAGCACTGTAGACACCGGACCATTGTCAGGACTTGCCAATGGGCCCGCGTATAAGAAAACCGGGTCAGCAGGGCGTACGATTGGATAGACGTTTCTTTTGGCAGGTACGGCGCACCATAGATCTCAGATTGCATCTCTCTATGGAGCTCAGCACCGGCCATCCGCAGATTTCATTTTTCTTGCCAAATACCGTAAAAATAAATACCATTCTGGCCGGCGTGGCGCGTTAGGAGACGTTGGCTCGCCATATTAAGGGTGTAGTCTTCCGTGACTCAACAATTCGGATTGAATACAGAATATCCCCCATAGTGCACCAGCACCGGTATTTCACATCTATCGAGGCCATTGGAGGAAACCATCAAGGGGGGCCCAGCCAATTCACCCTCCCAGTCTCCTCTAGTTATATAATGTCTCCATAAAGGTGATCTCAACTCAAAAAGTGCCAAATTGATGTCTTTTAGGGGAACATCTAGGTGGCTAAATGACCCTTGTCAAGAAAATTACACAGGCCAGCTATACTCTCAGTGCCAATACCTGCGCCTTGAACTCTGGATGCATGTTAATCCAACGCAGAGACGTAAATGGGCCATCAAATCAAAATGAAAAAAAAGGTTTTGGCTGGAGTTGACCTTTGAGGAGGAGGTCAGCCAGCCTAATCTCTCTCTGTTTGGTAGAAGCCGTCACGGAACTCTTAAGGTGCGCATACACTGCACGATTCTCGTACGAAATCCCGCGATCGTACGATAATCGTGCAGTGTACGGAAGGCGTGCGACCGTTTCTACTGTACGGTCGCACGTCTTCCGTCGAACCAGCAGGCTGGAAAACCCGCCGGGAATCCTACGATTCTCGGCGAGTTGGTGGCCTGCTGGTTCGACAACTGCCCAACGGGCCGGTGTGCGCACACACTGCCCGTTTGCAGTCATCGGAAGCCCGCCCCTCATTGCAGTCATCGCAAGCCCGCCCGTCAGGGGGGCGGACTTGCGATGATCGCAAGTACGATCTGCCTGTCCAAGATGGGCAGATCGTACGTTTTTTTAAGTACTTTACAACCCTGGCAAGACAAAGGTCTTGCCAGGGTTGTAAAGTGTATGGCCACCTTCAGGGCCGTCTTTACCGCAGGGCAAAAGGTTGCAACTGCCCTGGGCGCCATAATTTAGAGGGGCCCACAGCGGCAGGCAGAAAAGCAGCAGCACCGCAGGTGGCAGAGGTGGACTAAGCCAGTGGACTGCCGGTGTATTGACAGCCAAGGCCAGCATCGGCAGAGAGGAGGAGCCGAGCGGCCGGACGATGGAGGAGGCCCCGCCGATCAGAGAGTGCTGGGAGCAGATGAAGCTGTGCTAATCTCTGCCCATTGTATGCTGCTCCAGAGACCAGAGCACCTGGCCGGCAGAGGATAATGATGATGCTGGGGATGGGAAGGGAAGCTTGGGGGAGGACGATGCTGGCTGTGGAGTAATGAGTCAGTCGTGTTGCAGAGTCCTGAGTTTATTGCATTGAACTATATATATATAAACAAAATATATTTTTAGATTCTTTTCAGGAAAAGGTGATGTAGGTGGATACGGGGGCCTGGGTCGGGAAGTGTGTATGTGGGGGGTGGGGGGCAGGTGATGCCGGTGGGAGGGTTGTGGGGGACCATCAGCAAAATCTTGCCCAGGGCCCAATTAATATTAAAGACGGCCCTGGCCACCTTTACACTGAGGCAACCCGCATGTTCCATCTGAAAGTTGGTCATCACATCCAGAGAACGCGTCAGCTGTGATAAAGTCCGAGAAGTCACGCATTGCCCCAGAATGATACGACTCCAATGCCGTGACATTGACTTCCTCTGATAGAAGGCACAAAGTGTACAATATATAGATGTGATATCAAAGTACAGAGGAGAGTCCATATCACAGGATGTCTGGTATACAGAGGAGACAGATGTCCACCATTAGGATTGGAATAGGCAGCTTGGGGCCTGGAGATGGAGGAATGTCACCCCAGGTCAGGACACACCTTAGGAAGGAAAACTCTTGTCAGGACAGGGAGGTGAACAAAGAGGACAACTGGTGTGAAAGAAGCCATTTACACCAACCTGAAACAATTATCACCGACAATGTGTGGGGACCATCGACAAGATCTATCCAGTGGCGTGCCATGCCTTCTGTGCTGGGTGAGGCAACCCCCAGTCTGCCGAAGCTCCTCCCCGTTCCACCAGCCAACTCGGTAACCAAGCTGTGTTGGGAGGAGGAACCTGGCCAGCAGAGAGAGTAAATCCGGCCCTAGAAATGGCCATAGGTTATGTGGACCAGATGGGTCGGAGTTAGGATTTCCGATACCAGAGCATCATCCCGATCCCAGCAAGTCCAAACACAACATGGCTCCCCAGGCACAGTACATGAGTTTGGTTAGTACCAAGGTGGTTCTATAAAGCCAGGACATGCTACCAGGGCCGCATTTTCTCTCTCTCTGCTGCCCCAAGGCCAGGTTCCTCAATGCGCCCCCCTACCCACAACACTCCCCCCTCCCCCATGGAGAGTGTCAGACCTGCAGGCTGCATACAACTGATCTCTGCGACATAGCCGGGATCACTTGTACAAAACAAGAGGCGGCTTCTCCGCTGTACATTTAGCCCTGATTGCCCAAAGCCGGGCTAAATGTAGGAAACAACTACCCGCCCGGCGCCTGGAACTGCATGTCCCGGGCATCAGGAGATAGGAATTCCACACACCTGCTGCCCCTCTACTCCCTGCTGCCCCGAGGCCGGACCTTGGTTGGCCTTGTGGGAAATCCGGCCCTGCATACTACTGTATATTGCATCCGCATGCAGCTTATAGTTAATGCTATCCTAGGGTTTTCTTCAAGCGAAACCCGAACACTCAAGGGACGTGCGAACATTTTTTTGGGAGAATGAGTCGCGGATTATTCATATGTAAATATCACAGTTGAGACTATTTTCAGTGGGGGGCGCAGTAGCCTCTATCTTAATTTTGGTTGCCCCCTGTCTGCCTGACATGTGTCCAGGTTTCTGCTGCCATGAAACCCGGACACGGCATTCAAAACCTGGACTGTCCGGGTGAATCCTGGACAGGTGGCAACCATATGCTATCCAAAGAAATAACTCTCATCTCCCCATATGTTGGATCTAATGAGAGATGATACATATTCCTCATAATTTCTGGGAAATGAGTGATGATCCCACATAGTGAAGACCCTTCCCACTGAGAGAAGGTTGCATGGTGTGTGAGGATTCTTTGATGGTTTGTGGGGTTATACGTGATTAACTTTATCTAGACCCTCAGGCCTACAAGAATAGTGTCAGAGAGCTGTTCACTCCTCACATGTCTAGGCCCAATCTGAAAGTTCTAGTTCTGAATGCAGTATAACACCTCCCAGACTCCAATGATGCAAATTCAATCAACACCTGGTTGCCACTAACAGATGATGTGGATTGGAGCCACATTCCCCGTATTTACTCCCAGAGAATTTCTGATACAAGTCGTTCTGAACTGAGAATGCTGGTCGGATGTCCAGTGAAACGTCTTCAAGTAAAATGCAGCCAGTCCAGCCGCCTTGACTTATTTTTTTACAGATATAGTTCTGAATGGCGCACATTCCTCCACACACAAAGCTCCTCGGAGGATTCCAGACCTACGATCACAACTAGGGATGGACCGATACCGGTATTTTGGTACCGAGTACCGATAATTTTTTTTTCCGGTACTCGCCAATATCAATTACCGAGTAACGGAAGTCCCGTTCAGGAAGCCAGGTGGCGTGTAATGACTCGCCACCCGGCTTCCCGATTAACAAGAAAGTCCCCTCTTACCTTGGTAAGTCCAGCCTGTCCCCCCCGGGGGGCCTCTCCAGCCAGAACGCGGCCTTCCTCCGGTACCCAGCCGGAGCCGTCTGGACTGCCAATCAGGAAGCTGGGCGCCGTGTAATGACGCGACGCCCTGCTTTCCGAATGGCCGGAAAGGCCGGTTCCATGCTCCCTCGTCAAGTGACGAGAGAGCGTGGAGACGCTTCCCGGCCAATCAGGAAACCGACCAATGACGCGCTGCCCGGCTTCCTGATACAGGAAGTACTCGTGCTAGGCATCGGAGCATTTGGGCGAGTACTCGCTAAGGTTGCCACCTTTTCTTCAAGTGAAACCCGAACGCTCTGATATTTTTTGGGGAGAACGAGTCACAGCTTATTCATATGTCAATAGCGCCGCCCATTCATATGTAAATATTTTCCGTGGGGGACCAGTGAGGGTCCATAGCTTAATTTTGGTTGCTCCCTGTCTGCCTCACATCTTGTGTCCGAGTTTCCGCCGCCATGAAACCTGGACAGAGCATTCAAAACCCGGACTGTCCGGGCGAATCCTGGACAGGTGGCAACCCTAGTACTCGCCCAAATACTCGGTATCGGCACCTATATCAATACTAGTATCGGTATGGGTGCATCCCTAATCACAACTACAGAAATCCCAAAAATGAAAACACAGAAGGCGGGACCAGGTAGAATGCGTTTCTTGTACGCACCCAATGACTTGTTTTTACAGAGTGAAGGAATTTTCTATTAAAAAAACCAAAAAACTTTCTACTCACTATAAGGGCTCAGTTCCTCGGTGGTCCCCGATATGGTCCCATCAGGAAGAAATTGAAGGTAATATCCAACTTGGCTGAGCAAACGGGTCACAATCCCTCTGAGTTGAGGTTCTGCAAGAGAAGAGTCAAAAATTTAATGTGACATAGAAACAATATCAACTTGAATACCCCCCC